AAAAAAAAAATAAAAAGTAATTGAAAAGTTTAACGGTTAAGAAAGAATTAAAACTTATTTCTAAGATTTTAAAAAAACAAAAAAAATACGTACGTATTTTTTTTCTAATTTTCTTACAAATTATCTAAAACATATAAGAAGCATGGTGTTTCAGATTTTTCAAAGTGTAACATCTGGCAACAACAAAGAAGAACTTTTATTACACTTTACGATTGTAGGTATTATTCTTTTATACATGTTCTTAGCTAACTATGCTGGGCAAGAAATCACGGATCACAATAATCACGTCTTTTTCACTGCGTAAGAAACTTTTTATATATGTATAGTTCTTTCTACTATAGGGTAACTCCGACAAATAAGCCGCGCTGAGATTTACGCCGCAAGTCAGAAAAAATAGAAGAAGTGGGGGTAATTTTCCTGCAACTGTTACATGCCTTTATGCTATATATATTAGTACTGTGTTATGATTTCAGTTCCTTACTGTTAATATTAATGAAATTATTGTGAATTAAATCGATTTGTCACTGTAATAAATAGCGTTATCAACACATTACTTGAAATATGTACTTCATGTTTTAACACTTAATATATGTAGAAAGATTGTAATTATTATCTATTACTTCGTAAACATATTTATCATTCTTATTCCTTAATAAAACTTTATAAACATATTTTATAAGTTATTGTATCATTTTACGTCTCATTAATAAACATTATACCCGGTAAAAAATTTTTTATGAATATGTATAAATATGTATAAATTACATAAATATTCATATAAATATGTATAATTATATATAAAATATGTCCATATATATTAATACATCTCTCTTTCTTCCGTAAAATTATTTTTCTGTATAATGGAAATAATAGTAATGTAAAAACATAAAAAATAATTAAAGGAATAATTTTCTCATTGTTCGTTTTAGAAAAAAACATTAGAAAAATGTAAAAAAATTGCTCCTACACAATTATGCATAATTTTATATATAATTATACGTAAGTAATTTTTTTACATTTCTTCAAACTTAATTGTTGTTTTAAACAAATAGTGTAAAAATTGTCCTTTTAATTATTTTTAATGTTCTCACATTACTATTATTATTTCTATTACACTAAAAAGTAATTTTACAAAAGAGAAAGGAACATATAAACATGTATGGACATATTTCATATAGACTAACTCCAGTATATACGCCGCATCTATCAAAAACTTAATTTATTAAGTATTATTTATTATGTTTAAAATAAACAAACAAATATCAGTAAAAGAAAAAGTTTGTACTGTTTACTATTATGAAAAAAATATTAGAAATCCGAAATATTTGTGTTTTGTATTAAAAAATGTACTTTTTTGAACCCTTGCATTTTTGTCATATATTCCATAGAGGTAGGATATATACCTATTCATAGAGGGAAGGGGGATATATACGGCTCATGAAAAATTTATAAATAATGCATATAAATAAAACGTAAAATACACAATAACTTATAAAATGCATTTATAAAGTTTTATTAAGAAATAAGAATGATAAAAATGTATACGAAGTAATAAATAATAATTATTGTACAATCTTCCACATGTATTACAAGTGTTATGATATGAGGTACATATTTCATAGTGCATTGAATTCAATCGCACTTTGTATGCTTTGGGCATAAATCCCGCCCGCGAAAAATGCCATATATATTCCAAACAGATAGGATATACAAGACAACAAACTTAAACAAAGAATATAACAGCAAAGTACTTGTATTTTGTTATACAACAAAATGCTTTACTATTCCTCTACACTCATATGTCACGAAATAACCTCTAAGTCTTTTGCACGTCCTACAGTAATCATTTTATGTTGATTATAATTTATGATGACGCAACTTAACATAGTGACAAATCGATTCAACTCACAATAATTTTATTAATATTAACAGTAAGAAACTGAAATCATAACACAAACTAATATGACATAAAGGCAACAAAGTAGTTGCGAAAAATACCCCCACTCCTTCTATTTTTTCTGATTTCTGCGGCGTAAATCCCAGCGTGGCGTATTTGCCGGAGTTACCCTGTGATTATACATGTTTATGAATATTTATACATATTTATACATATTCATACATGAACAATTTTTTACCAAGTATTTGTTCGATTATTTGTAAATTTTTCATGAGCCGTACATACCCCTCTTTTCTCTCCTCCTCCATGAGTAGCCAAATATCCCATCCCTTGCAAAAATGCAAAAAGTTCTTTTTTTAATACGAAAAATAAGTATTTCGGATTTCTAATATTTTTTTCATAGTAGCAGACAGTACAAAATTTCTTACTGATATACATAGTTCATTTATTTTAAAAATAGTAAATAATACTTAATAAATTAAGTTTTTGTTAGGTGCGGCGTATATATCGGAGTTACCCTATACGAAGTGTATGTATGCATACGCGTATGTGTACATTTACTAATTCTTTTACATATTATATATTTAAATTATTAATTATCTGTAGTTATATAATATATTATTATGTAAGTAATTATATTTATGTAGTTTTTGTAGTTATATTTATATTTTCCATAGATATAATATTCGTTGGTATACAGCGCCGTTATCCATACAGAAACTAATATTATTTTTATTACAAAGAAGTAGCAAAACTTTCAGTTTAAACGTCGGCGGATTATTTCAAGCATCCTTAAAATGCTTCGCTTCGGTAAAAACCATATTACATATTAGAACATATACAAATGTAACACACATCGTATAAACAAAATAAAAGAAAGTATATTGTTGCAGTTAACAAGTACATCGATATCTTACTTCACTGTCATATACTCGACACAGCAATGAAAATACATACATTATCTATGTAGTTAAATAGTATATAAAAATTAAGTAGGTAAGTAAAGACAAATGTCTGATTTTACTGTCTATTAACTGTTCAATAAAATAAAGAAAATATATAACATTTTTTCTTTAAATTGTAATGCTTACATGACAGAGAGGAAATAATTAATTAATTTACATGTAGAATAGATTGTATTCGACATGATATCAACAGAACTAATTATGAGATATTTTTCGCGTATAAACATAAGACACACAAATAGAGCTCACAGAAGATAAATAAGAATATCTATAATGTACTAGTCTTATTTTCTACTGCACTCTTTAACTTCTTGAAAAAGAAAATTGATTATTTATATTTTGTTAATAAAAATTTATTAACTTTTTTATATATGTGTATAAAAAGCAATGAAATATCAAAGATTGCTGATCAAAATAAATAACTAACGAATAACATTATATCTGGATATAATGTTTAAATAGTTGAGATAATATTATTAAATAAAGAAAAATATTATTAGAATTTCACTCTAAGAAATGAATGAAACCACAAGATACCTAATAGATAGATAATATTTCTAATGGTATATGTATTATGGTCCAGATATAATAAATGTTTTATCCTTCCTTTCAAGCGAAGTTAGTATTATATAATTAAAATCTGTAGTATTGTATACCTTGTGGTGATATTTTCAGTAGTTGACATGTTAACATCTCAAATCAACGGTCAACTATTTTCTCTTAACGAGCAAACATATCCAACAAGAGCTCGAAGTAGAATGAAGCACGTAAAAGTACAGATAAAAGAAAAAGTGACTACGCTTGCGCAAACTTCGATTTTAAAGTCAT